AAATGACTGCGAATGTGTTGATACTATGATCAAGCAATGGCTATGAACAGCAATTTCTTCCAGTTTCAACTATTTTCATGTGTAATAAAACTCTGACGGTAAACAAGCAAAAATGGGAAAATATTAGCAGTTGTTCCTCTGGGCTAGTCATTTATCTAGTTGCTTGTATTTCCAACACAGACATTTATTACTGTTTTTATTGAAAATGGCAGGTCGAACAAATAATAATATTGCTACTCTCTGTGTCTTATAGTCATGTAACCAAGAAGTAGTACACAGATGACAAGACACTGTCAGGGGAAGAGACACATTTATGTCTTTTTCAGAACTCAAAAGAGATAAGACATTCTTCCCTTTGACCATTTGTAACATTCTTAGAAACATTAAAAGCTTCATAAGATGCATATATATATATATATATATATGTATATATATATATATATATATATATATATATATATATATATAATATGGCATAGCTGATTTGAAATAAATGCTTTTTTTGAGCATACATTTATATTGAATTTTTGAGAAGCAGAAGTCAGTTTTGTCAAAATGAGGACCAAATCATTTATATGATATTTGAAAGATCCAAACAGAAAAGTGCTTATTCTGATAAAGTGTATGTGTAGGGTCATCATGGTAGTGAGTGGAACAAAACTTGGTGATAATACCTAAGACCCTATATTCACTGCTAACTACTTCAAAAATGTGAGAATGTATAAATATATAGGAATTGTACTCAAATAATGTACTAAAAATCAGTGATGATACAAAGGTCTGATACCTTAAAATCAATGCATAATTAAATAAAATATATGCTTATACTTTGATGTATTATTTTCAAAAGCACATATAATTTACACTCAGTACATGTAAATGGGCTTTTACTTAATCTTATTTATGAAAACTCCTCAATTGTGTCATTAGCTGCAGAGCAACAAACTTCAGATTTTTGGTTTTCTGGGTGCTATTCTTTTCTGTTGTGTGACATTTAACAAAGATTTTTCCCTTAACCAACATTTTTGTATTAGTGTGCCACTGGTCATTCTTATATATATGTGTATGTGTGTGTGTATACACATACATATTATATATATACACACATACATACACACACACACACACACACACACACACACACACACACACACACACACATATATATATATATATATTCCATGATAGGCACAATCTGGAATCATTAATATTTAAGTGTCTTAACTAAAGTTTCTATTGATGTGACGAGACACTATGTCCACAGCAACTATTAGAAAAGGAAACATTTAATTGGTTGCTTATAATTTCAGAGGTTAAGTCCATTATCATCATGACAGGACATGGCGGCATACAGGCAGACATTGTGATGGAAAAGGAGCTGAGAATTCTGCATCTTGACCCTCAGACAACAGGAAGTGAACTGAGACACCGGATGTGGCTTGAGCATATATAAGACCTCAAGCTCACCCCCACAGTGACACACTTACTCCAACAAGGCCATAATGTTAGGATCTTGCTCTCACTCTTCTGGATCTAAAATCTTACATCATAGACATACCCACTGCATGGTCATGCAATCTCTGCCTTAAAAAGCCATACAAGGACCCCTACGTTCTCTCTCTGTGCTCCTCTTTCTGTTTCCTCTCTGCTCTGCTCCCGCCATCTTTCTGCCTCCACCAGGCCTGGCTCTCTCTCTCCCCCACCTTCCCTCCAATAAAACTCTAAAAACTAGTATTGGGTTCTGCCATGGCTGTGACTCTTCCACCAACCCACTAGTGTAGCTCATCCTTTCACATACATACTGCAACAAAGTGACACTTCCTAATAGTGCCAATCTCTATGAACTTATGGGGTCAATTACATTCTGACTACCACAATAAAGATATTGTATATGTTTATAAGTAACTATATTAACATCAAAACAAGGCTATACAAAAATAGAATTTTGTCTCAGTCTTAAAAAAAATGTGTGTGTGTTTTCGTGCATGTGTGTACATTCCAAAATATGTAAATACAACCTGCTCACTCAACATAGTGTGAGCGGGATGTATATGATCTCAGTATTAGTCACTTGGTATTGGATAACCTGAGGTCTTTTTCCTGGGGAAAACTATTTCTCCTACTGTCAGAATTCCTTACCTTGCTGTAGTTCAATGTCTAGGCTTGAGACACCTATAAGACTCCCTGCTTCCATATTAGCATAAAAATATGGATGCCATCCTTGCGCAGCTTTGTTAGGCATACATGTTAATGAGACTTCATTGGTGTAGTTTCTGTGACATTTCTAGGAAACAAAAATCTCACAACAAATATCTTGCTGCTCTTGCTTTTAAAGCCTTTTCATCCTCTCTTTCTCTATGATACTCAATTTAGACTTAGGAAAAGGAGAATTGCAATAGATGTATGAGTTGAGAGGTGCCACCACAGGTTTTCCTTCCCTTTGTATTTTTATGGGCTCTGTTTTCTGTATTGTTTCTATCTGTTGCAAGGAGACTAAAGTGTTAAACCTACATTATCTGTGGCTATAAAGATAAACATGATAAATATTTAGAATGTAGTTAGGAATGATACTGGTTTAGGAAAATAATGGTTGGCTCTTCCCCAACTTCCTGGACTATGTAGGCCCATGTAGTTTTCAATGAAAGGATGATTTTGAGGGCATTAAGTACAATTAGGCAGCTGTTGGTTACTGCCAAGCTATACATGTCAGTATTTTTGCCTTTGGTATATAATGCCATGATGTATCATAGTTTTAGTTCACAGACATCATATCTAAGAAGGAATTCTGACTGATTCCATGGAAACTTGCATAGAGCCCTCTATGATGAATGCTAGTTGTCAAATAGGAGACTTTCAGGTCAGAACTAGCTTAGATCCTCAAGATTGCATATTTAAAGTCATAATGCCTTAAGCAATAGGGATTTCACTCCAAGTTCTAGGTGGGGACCAAGGGCAAGGGAGAAAACATATCATTTTTTGTGAGTCTCTTGGATAACACTAACCAACAACTCAGAAAAGGACTCCTCAAGCCTCGTGTTCGGTTTTATATTAGATAGTCTATAGTTATTAGGGGAAGTGCTGTCAGCTCAGATAAGAAGATTTTTACTTAAACTATATATGTATGTATTAAATAGCTCATCATATTATACGGTTTGGTTTTAATAGCAGTGACAGTTCATTTCCAGTTCAATTAACTGCACACATTTCATTCAACCTAAGCAAACACAAGCCTGTTTTATTTTTCACACAATTACAATAATATTTCTTAGATTTAGAAAGGGATTTGTACTCTGTAAAATTCTAGAACTGTGAAATAATTGAAACAGTAGAGAGAGAGTTGAAGGAAAAAGGAAAACTACATGTATGTCTTTTTCAAAGTTTGCTCTGTTTTTTGTAGCTTCAATGAAAATATTATGATAATGTAAGCAAAATCCACATAAATACTTGGGGACTGAATCCAATACATGCTTATCATAGTCACACAGCATGTTCTCTACAGAGAAATTTTTGAGCAGGTTCAGCTTTACCTTTCACAAATAGTAAGACTCCATCTACCATGCCACATGTTGAACAACACTCACACTCCCTAGACCATCAAGCACATGGCAGGTTGATGAACAGCCACTCCCAGCATTCCAACTCAAGAATAAATGTATTCCTTATAATAGAAATCCATAAATTAGACTTTCATATTTCAACTGATGGTCCAACAATTCAGGTAATCATGGTATGTACTCTGTTTTTGGCAGGGTAAGTGTTTTTGTGAAAATATTTGTTTAATAGTTGAGATTTAAGCTTTTAATTGTATCCATTTCATTGTTATATTAAAAGTAAAATATGTATGAACAAACACTATTCCTAATTCTAAACTTAATAAAACATGAAGAATTTATCCATCAATACAATGTATTTAAAATTATTTCTGAATTAGTTCTAAAATTATTAGAACTCAGGTTTTAACTAAATTGAACACTGATCAGTGAATTATATTTTGGAAAAATAATGATAAAGTTATACATATAACAACAGATTTTTATTAATGTATATCCACAATATGAAATTCCACAATTATACTAAAGCTCTGCATTGAGAACAAAGTACTTTTTTATTTTAAAAGATTTTGGGTTTTATTTTTATTTATGTTTTTTATTCATCTATTTACACCCTAGCTTCAGCCTCCTGCACATCCTCTCTTCCCAGTTCCTCTCCCCTGTTCCCCTTTCCAATCCTCCAATCGCCTCCAGGGGATGTCCTCACTCATAAGTGGATATTAGCTATAAAAGAAAAAAGATAACTATGCTATAATCCACAGATCCAGAGAGACTAGGTAACAGAGAGAGTTCATGGGTTGACACCGAGGGCTTCTTAGTGTGACTCTGCGTGAGGTTAAGCTTGAACATAAATAAAATAGGTTAGCGAACATAGAGGAAGAAGAACTTTCCAAAACTTGGCTGGAGGAGGGGCATGGAAAGAGTACAGTCTTCAGATTAAGATAATTACTGAGCAGGGACACATCCTGCCTGCCTAGCAGATGGAAGGCAAACAGCTTGGAAGTTACTGCATTCATAAAAGTGTATATATTTGCATTTTCATGTAACAAAATTGATGGTCAGTTTTAGACAGTGGCTTGGGAGGTGACTTTGATTTTCAAATGAAAACAAAATAATTATTATATGAGTCAAATTTTTCAAAAGCTTTGAAGAGTATGGTCCTGTTACCTTTTTAAAATATTAATAATTATATGTTAGTTACATTCTTCCCAAAATGATCTTCATATGTATTAGATTCATGCCTGGCTCAAAGGAAAACAAATAGCTGGAGACATAATTCTTTGTTCATCTTTGTGCTTTGAAGTACCTCTTGATGTCTACTATATTTCAGAACTTTCAGTGATGTTTACCATCAAACGCTTAATATTGTAGTGTGAGATAAGCACACTCAACAGAAAGAACATTGTAAAAGTCTGATTTATGTAATAAAGTTGATGTGTTGTTTATCAGGTGACAGAAACACGGACCGGTCCTCTTGGCTGCAGTAACTATGACAACCTAGATTCTGTCAGCTCTGTTCTGGTTCAAAGTCCTGAGAATAAAATTCAGTTGCAAGGTATGTAGTTAAAATTTTATTAATTATTTATGAGCCTAGAGGATATGCTATCCAGTTATAATTTCTTTTATGTTTCTGAAAAATAAGTCATTTGTCACTGGAGAGGTGGCCCAAAAGCACTTGGTGCTTTTCTAGAGGACTTGAGTCAGGTCTATCCACCCACATAAGATGCTCATTACCCTCTGTAAGTATTGATCTAGAGGCTCTGAAATCTCTGCCCTTCTTGGGCACTTGCACTCTTGTGCACATAACTGCACATTGGCATATGATTAAATAATAAAACATCTTAAAAAATAAAAACAGTATATATGTATTAGGAATTTAAAGTTATTAACAAGGTTAATGTATCAATTTTAAAATATTTTGATGATTTAAATAAAATGAAAAAATATCAACTTATTTTCCTTCACATATTAAGTAATAATAGTAATTAAATCCTATCTTGAGAGTATTTTTTCTTGTAAATGGCAACCACTGTTCCAGTAAGAGGAAATTTATATAGGCTTGTACAGTCTATGGCTTTTTCTTAGAAATTTTGTACATTTTGTAATCCTATCTACTCATCCTATAAAATATGCTGGGCAATTTAAGTTTAACTTAATATAGCAGATGATGTTGTCTTAGTTTTCAGGCAAGTAAAGTACAGATGGTATTATATCAAACTGCTTGGATTTTCGTTATTCCAATTCAGATTGATTTTGTGATGGTAAGCATGATTTGTTAGTTTATTCATACAGTTTTGGAAGATGATTAAATGCAAGACCCTTTGCTAAAAATATTTACAAGTATGTGTATGTGCGATCACAAAAAGACACAAGTGTGTATAGTCCTTCATTCTTAAAAGCAAGAGACAGAACAAGGGGCTAGAGAGAAATCAGTTGTGAAGAGCCCTTGCTGCTACTGTGGAAGATTAGTATTTACTTCCCAGAATCCACATGGCAGCTCATAACTGCCCTTGACTCCAGTTTCAGGGGATTTCATCCCCCTCTCCTGACTATGATGGGCTACTTCATGCATATGATGTACATACACACATTCAGCACACACCCACACCCATTAATGAAAACTAAATAAATATTTTCTAAAAAGAAAAGAAGAAAAAGAAATAACAAAAATGCACCGTGACATAAATATTACTTGAAGTAGCCTGACATAATCCTAATGATTATACAAAATGGGTAATTGTCTGTACAGAGTTAATTTTTGAGTCATTTCTTTTTCCTATAGATTTATAAAATTCATTTTAGATCTTTATAAATTAGATCTGTATTTATTTTTATATGAAATCATTTAGAAATTGCAGCCTATTTTCCGGTTCTACACATGTGAAGACAAAATGTATTCAGAGTAGATTATTTAAAGTATCTATAAGTATCTATCCTATGTAGTAAATAAATACCATTACTCCAAATATTAAAACTATTACAAACTGTTTTAATACTTAAATCAGGTGAAATTTTTCATTCATTTGAATTTTGAAGTTATTGAAATATTTTTATTATTTAAAATAAAAAAGACAATGCAAATACCACTGTTAAATCTCCTTGGCTTTTTCTTTTTAATGTGAGATTTAGTTTTACATCATTATATTAACTTTGATCAAAAATACAAAAAATATTTAAAATATACTCTACAAAGATTATTTATTAACAAAATGCTGATTTTCTTTTCTATGAATCATTGTACAGATTCGCAATATAAAAAGAACCTCAAGACTGATGAGATGCTCAGTGACTAGAGACACTGACTCCAAGCCTGACAATGGAATTTGGTTCCTGGGGACCAAATTATTGAGAGAAATTATTAACTCTCTCATGTTGTCAATCCACTGACTGTACACACACACACACACACACACACACACACACACACACACACACACACACACACACAGACAAACACATATACAAACACAAGCACTTGTACCATAATTAAAAAAAAATAAGTCATATGCCTATATTGAAAAACATGATGAACTGAGTAAACACTCCTTTACAGTTTAGTGCCTTTTATGTTAATGTAAAGAACAAAATCACATTCTTTCTTTCACTTTTTTTTCTGCTCACTAAGCCACAATTTTGGATTGTCTATTTTGATTTTATTAGCACCTCCAGATTAAAAATCACTCCTAAAATCACCTTAAGAGATTATCCAGGAGACTCCCTTTCCCAATTACATTGTCCTCATGTCAGTTTGTAATACCTGTGCAATTTCTGTTGTGACCATCCTTCTAGCCTTCTTTTAACCGAATTCCATTATTCTGCAAGAACCCTTTTGGAACCCTTTTCCTCCTACTGGATTGCCTTGGCCAGCTTTGATATGGTTTCTGCCTAGCTTTATTGCACCTTGTTATGCTGTGTTTCGGTTGATGTATCTGGGAGGCCTGTTCTTTCCTGAAGAGAAAAGAAGGAGGAGTGAATCTGGGGGAGAGCTGATGTGTGATGAACTGGTAGGAGTGAAGAGAAGGGAAACTCGCTGCAGTCAGGGTGTAACGTATAAGAGAAGAATTCAAAACAAAACAAGACAAAACAAAAAACTGAAATATTCTAACCAAGCCTCACATGGTGACACATGGTTGTCACCTAGCAACTGAAGAGCAGAGGCTGGAAGATGGAAGATAAGATATTCTAGGTCATCCTAACTTATGTGACAGGATGGAAGGCATTCTGTGCTATTTGAGAACTAATATGGGAAGAAAGAGTGAAGGAAGGAAGCAAAGAAGGAGGAAATGAATGAACAAAGGAGCAAAGGAAAGAAATAAAGAAGAGAAGAAGGAAGGAAAGGAAGGAGAGAAGATTAAGGACAATGGTTAATAATTAAAATACATGTCTCCACAAGCTTATCCACACATGTGCACACATTAGGGAATATGTGTACCCATATACACATGAAAAATACATAATCCCATATACACCATGTGTACCTACACATAAAAAAAGGAAAAGTCAAGACAGAAGGAAACAGTAGGTAAAAATAAATAATAATATATGGAAAATTGTGCCAACAATAAATAGTTATTTACAACTGAGCTAAATTTGATAACATTTACATTTCTTTTGTAACAAAATCAATTCATTATTTTGCCCTTGATTTTTACCTATGAGCCTGAGTCAATGAAAATCATGCATTAATATTCAGGGAAAAATGAATTTCACAAGTTCTTTGATAACTGCAGCCATATCCTTGTGTCCATTTAACAACAATACCATATATTTGCCAGTATGTCTATTCTACACATTTGCTTATTTAGAGTAGTATTTTAAAATTTTCAGTTTAAATTTAAATACAAATATCTATTGGAAGGTTTATTTAAAATACCATTTGTTGGTACAATATAAATGTGAAAATGACTGACATGATACTGTCCTATCATTGGCAGTATGGTTAATAAAAATAAAATTACTGTAGTAATGTAATAGAATATAAATTAATAACTATTGAGTATTGATGCATTTAATTTACCAGATATTACTAATTGGGTCATTAATTTTATTAGCCTTATCAGAGTGACAAAACAGCTCACTAAAGACAGCATTGACCATTCATGTGACACATGAATAGCTTTCAACATTGTGGAATTGATTTTTCATGTTGAAGGTTGACCATTGATAAATCATACATAAATCAATGAGAGATTTAAAATATTCCACATGGTATTGTTTCAGTGTGGAGGGACTATGACAAGATTGATTAAGAAAAAATAAACTTCGAGTCTGTTCATAGGCTTTCTATGTGAGAAAGAAACTTATAGAACACATCTGAATTTAAATGACATTTAACCACATGGAGTACTCTGGTGCCATTTTTGGAAGATGAATATATAGAGAAAATGATGAGTTTGGGAACTATGAAACATATTAGATGGCAGCAGCTACTATAGATTTGAAAAAAAATAATACTAACTTTAAGTTGATCTAGAAAATTCTCCTCCTCCATTAAATAAACCCAATATATTTTTCAAAATATTATCTGAAAGATATGTATCAGATTCAAGGAGAGGAAAGTCACCAACACTCCTACCTATCTGCAACACCTAAAAAACACACTATAGATTGGAATGGCAAGAGACTCACAGACAAAGTAGAGCCATTTAGAACCAAGAACCATCTGAACTTCAGGCCTTCTAAATAAGAAATAATTCATGCTTGGTGCTGTAAACCTATACAGCTACCCCATGACTGGTGACAACATTGAATCTAGAGGAGAATCTAAATATTTCTGCTTTTCTAAACCAAAATGACTTTAACTACACTTTAAATATCTGTCCTTATGACCACAGATAAGTGTAGCTTTCATAACTTTTCAAAGAAACTTCTTTTTGTAGTGGATGGAAATGAATTCAGAAAGTCACAACTTGTCAAAATGAAGAGGACAATCGACCTGAGGTACAATGGGAAGTTGCAAGAGCCAGATGGTGGGGAAGTCTGCTGATAGTGTCTCCTGTTTATGACAAGGAACCTGGACATATAAAATCTCAACAATGAAAGTGCCTAAGCAAAACCTGAAGAGTTTAACACTGCCTGGCATGCCAACATGGATGAAGAAAAACTCAAAAGGCCCATAGATGAAGAGTTACCATTTATGGCTACTGACAGAGTAAGAATCAGCAGTCTTCAGCAGAAGCAATCCACTTGACAGATATACAGTCCCAAGCAGTCAGCCCTAAACATGTATACATATGGGCAACACTGCGTTAACATAGCAGGTTGTATTTATAGAGCTACACACTTACATAAATATATAACTATAATAATTAAAGAATAGGGCAGTGAATTTCAGAGGGAGTGACAGGGAAGAGAGGAGCAGAACAATTGTGTGAATATGGTGCATGTAATGACATTTGAAAATATGAAGGAACTAGAATGTGAACATGTGCAGTCATGTATATACACATACAAAAATTCCATCCTTGAGCTCAAAATTCTAGTCCATGACCCCTAAGTATTATTACATTTCTGTTGTTTATAGTCACACTTCATTACTAAAACTATCTGAAAATGCAAACTTAACAAAGATATTTAAATTACACACTGAAATGTATTATAAATTTAATTATAATATAATGTTATATTACATAATAATCACAATGTAATGACTTTAGAATGAAAAACCTATATTAGAAATCCTTCCAATAAAATCTCTTATAAAAACTATTCATAAATAATTTGAGAGAATTAGGTTTATTATAAATATTGTAAATGATTTTCTTTTTTTTTTTGGTTTTTCGAGACAGAGTTTCTCTGTGTAGCTTTGCGCCTTTCCTGGGACTCACTTGGTAGCCCAGGCTGGCCTTGAACTCACAGAGATCCGCCTGGCTCTGCCTCCCGAGTGCTGGGATTAAAGGCGTGTGCCACCACCGCCCAGCGTAAATGATTTTCAAATCAAGTGTAAATTCCTTATTGAGATTCTTTTGATGATTTATTTACATAATTTTGCATACATTTCTTTTGCTTATTCTTTTTAATCTTTCACTTAGAGTCATTTATTTGATATGTGACGCCCACATCATTAACTATACTATATGTTTTATTTCATGTCTGTCATGTGTGTATGTGTCTGTGCGTGTACTTCAGTGTCAACTGTGAACCGCCCACTGTGGGTGCTGGCAACTGTGCCTGGGTGCTCTGAAAGGGGAGCAGGTGCTTCTTGCTCGCCAGTCCTAATATGTGTTCTTCCTGACAGGGAAATACTTAAAGTTTTTGAAGTAAGTTTACTGCCAATGTGGATAAGAATTAGTAATTAGTAATTTTTTCTACATATATGCTTAAGTCTTGATAGTTTTATTCTGAAGTTTTGTTGTTCCTTAACAGTGTTCTTTTCACTAATGTCGATGCTTTTTCGTGGTTTCCTAATAAAATTCCACTTTGAGAGCAATGTCTTCTCCTCAAGAAGAGTCAATGTGTGTAAGATAGCATTTACAGAAAAAAAAATCCATATTTTTGCTTCTTCAAATGTTATATCAGAATTCCAATGAGGAAAAATGATCCATTTGAATTGAAAGTTCACTCCTGCTTAGAAACACATGCACACCAAATGGTTCTTGCCCTTATACCTATAACCACCATGCACATCTGTCTGTACCCATCTGTGACACCACCTACCTAAGGAACTGTGAAAAAACAAAAAGATACATAATGGATCCTCTGTAAGTGTTTCATGGGCAGAATCAGTGTTTCTAACTTGCCACACGAGGTGAAATAGCTTATTCAGGCTTTCAGCTGATGCACAGGTGAAGAAGGGGGGGAAAATGGCAGGAAAAGGAATAGATATTATTGCTGATAGAGAAAGGTGTTCCCTGCCACCACTGTTAGGAGTTGCACATGAACATCAAGATATATAACAATATCATACATGCAGAGGACCTAACTAAAACCCATACATTGTCTGTGCTTGTCACTTCAGTCTCTGTGAGCTCCTTTAAGCCCTGCTTAGATGATTCTGTAGTCCATGTTCTCTTGGTGTTCTTGACACTTCTGGATCCTACAAGCAGCACCCCCTCCCTTCTTCAGGGTTCCCCTGGCTCTACCTAATGTTTGCCTGTGGGTCTCTGCATCTGTTCCCATTAGTTGCTGATGATATCTTTCTAATGACAACTGGGCTAGGCACCATTCTTTTTTTTTTTTTTTTTTTTTTTTTTTTTGGTTTTTCGAGACAGGGTTTCTCTGTGTAGCTTTGCGCCTTTCCTGGAACTCACTTTGGAGACCAGGCTGGCCTCGAACTCACAGAGATCCGCCTGGCTCTGCCTCCTGAGTGCTGGGATTAAAGGCGTGCGCCACCACCGCCCGGCACCATTCTTATCTAGTAAGAAATGTTGGAGTTGAAGCTACATTTTTCTCAAAATAAATTAAATGAAAACTTTCAAACATTTCCTCTAAAGTTCACTTCCAATAACACTTCCCTAAAGGGACAGTGACTACCAAACTGGCATCTAAGACAGTAATGAAGTGTATCAGCAGGGATGACTTACACACAGCAAAGAAATGGACTGAGTTGACTATGTCAGGCCATCTGCTCCTTTCTACGCAGTTCCGTGCTTGCTCCTAGACAATAGAATCATATAAGGTAGGTCTTCTTGGTGTCCTGTGTTGAGATCTGCCTTCCTATCAACCTTGCCAAACTCTTAGAACCCAACTCATAATATTATAGTATCTGTGCAGAGTGATAGTCTAAAAGTAAAACCTAAGTATAGAAATCAAGAGGCAGAAAACAATGAACATGTGTCTTCAAATAGGTAGGCTTACAGTAACTTTTGTAAAACATAATCAAATGTTGTAATTAATTACGTCAAACACCCAGAAAATTGTTATAAAAAGTGTAAAATACTAACTATTTCCTTGAACTTTGAGATTCCACATTCTGGCAGTCTTAGTGTACTGAAATTACACAGGCAGATAATTTTCTTAACGATAGTTTTTAAGCAGCGATGAATTCCTGTTTTAAAATACTAACATTTACATTGTCTCCTTGGTGTTGTAAGCAAGTGCTTGCCACACTTGTGGTGCCGCAAACTTGACCACTTCGTTTGTCTTTCAAGGGCTTCAAGTTCTCCTTCCCGACTACCTTCAGGAACGTTTTGTGCAGGCCGCGTTGAGCTACATTGCTTGCAATTCAGAGGGGGAGTTTATCTGCAAAGATAATGACTGCTGGTGCCACTGTGGCCCAAAATTCCCAGAATGCAACTGCCCCTCCATGGACATTCAAGCCATGGAAGAAAATCTTCTTCGAATAACAGAAACATGGAAAACCTACAACAGCGACTTTGAAGATTCAGGTAAGAGAGAGATTTTACTAACATAATCTCAGTCTTGACCCAAAAATATGATTGAAGGACTGCTTTCTCTTGTTGAAACAATGTTTCACTTCATAGTGGGAACGTTTTTCATTTTTTAATCTTTCAAGTAGATTTTTATATTGCACTTGTTACTGTTCACTTATTGTTTTATAAGGATGTTGGTGAACTGCGTATTGCTTATGTTCTCTTGTTGTTGGAGCCCAGCCTGCTCTATGGTTGAAGTATTAACAATTTATTAGGATTATTTGCTAGGCCAGCCCAGGCACTATCTGGACCACTGCCAGCAGACGAAGGTGGGGTCAACCTTGTGGATTCCTGAGAGCCTCCCAGGCACCCTGCCTTTTCCTATTCCCATGATGTCCTCATCTATCATAGTATCTTCCTCCCTGCTCTCCCACTCTGTCCCTGTTCCAGTTTGACCCTCCCATTTCCCTATGTTCTCATCCCCCACTTCTTGCCTTCTGCCACCTCCCCACACCCAGTCCACTCACATAGATCTCATCCATTTCTCCTTCACAGGGTCATCCATGTGTCCCTCCTAGGGTTTTACTGTTAGCTAGCCTCTCTGGAGTTGTGGGTTGCAGTTTGGCCATCCTTTCCCTCCTATTTAGTATCCACTTATGAGTGAGTACATACTATGTTTGTCCTTTTGAGTCTGGGTTACCTCACTCAAGGTGACATTTTCTAGATCCATCCATTTGCCTGCAAATTTCATATCATTGTTTTTTACTGCTGAGTAGTACTCCATTTTGTATATGTGCCACATTTTCTTTATCCATTCTTCAGTTGAGGGGTATCTAGGTTGTTTCCAGGTTCTTGCTATTATGAATAATGCTGCTTTGAACATAGCTGAGCATGTGTCCTTGTAGTAAGATTGAGCATTCCTTGGGTATATGTCCAAGAGTGGTATAACTGGGTCTTGAGGAAGACTTATTCCCAACTTTCTGAGAAACCGACATACTGATTTCCAAAGTGGCTGTACAAGTTTGCATTCCCACCAACAGCAGAGGAGTGTTCCCCTTGCTCCACATCCTCTCCAACATAAGCTGTCTTCAGTGGTTTTGATCTTAGCCATTCTGACAGGTGTAAGATGGTATCTCAGAGTTGTTTTGATTTGCATTCCCTGATGACTAAGGATGTTAAGCAATTCCTTAAATGTCTTTCAGCCATTTGAGATTCTTCTGTTGAGAATTCTCTGTTAAGCTCTGTAGCCCATCAATACATCAGTTTATCATCTTTTTTATGTTTCTCTGAAATTCTCTGGAAGCCCCTGAGTTTCATTTGTCAGGGAAACACTGCCAGCATGTTTTGTATGTCTTCACATCCACATGACTCCCATTACTACTCACCTTAAATTGACCACTTTTTATAATCATATTTAGAGCCATTTTATAATAATGGTTAAAGCATTTTTTGTTATTTTTGAATATTTAGAAAAGTATATATGAAGTATTTTCAAATTCTTCTTAGTAACTACATAACCCATAATCATGTACATCAGCTTCAGGCCTAAACAGTTTAAAACTGCTGAACTTACAACCATGCAAAATTAAAATATTTCTTAAAATAAAATAACATTACTTAAAGGATAATGTATGATAATATATCATAAGACAAGCATTATTGAAAACTAATGTATGGTGAATGGTAGAATTTATTCAAAATGTGTTAGACATGAATAACCAACAATCAAAGTGAAGCATGACGTCACACACACACACTCACACACACACACACACAGGTAGGATTGGAGAGAGTAAATACATTCAGGTTTATTTTTATCAAAATAAGGAATGATGTTGAAGCAGACACTGGACATTGTGTCTCAAAGTGATAGTTGTTTACTTTTGCAAAGCTTCAGTTAGTCACAAAGAACATATTTGAGAGTTACTGCAGTATGATTATAATAATAGCATTATGTTGTATAATTGAAAATTACTGGGAAAAACTCTTAATATTATCATCTTAAAAATGTGTTAATCGGGGCTGGAGAGATGGCTCAGAGGTTAAGAGCACCAACTGCTCTTCCAGAGGTCCTGAGTTCAATTCCCAGCAACCACAGGGTGGTTTACAACCATCTGTAATGAGATCTGGTGCCCTCTTCTGGCCTGCAGGCATACATGCAGACAGAACACTGTATACATAATAAATAAATAAATCTTTAAAAAAATAAAATAAAATAAAAAATGTGTTAATTACTGTGGGGGGTTAGTGGATACTTCACTTAGTTTTCTCAGTTACTACACATTAGTTATGTTTATCTTAACCCTAAATTACATATCAATATTATAGTAGTGAATTTGTAGTAAAATATAATTTAAAAAACAGCAAAGATGTGTTAGGATAGACTTGTCAACAATAAAGGTAAGAAAAAAATGCAGGAGAGAATGATGAATGGACACTGTGAGTTTCTGCAAGTGCTTTTCCTTGGGGCGCATTTATCAACTCTTGGCAGATTTCAAACCTGAGAAGCCTTCCTTGCCCCTGGAAAATATTTCTACCTCAGGGAAAGTAACCTGACCAAATGTCTATGGCATGAGTAGGTTATAATAACTAAATTGAAAGTGCAAAGTAGTCAGTAAGTCTTTATATTGTTTTCCCTAATTTCAGTCCAGATATGAAGGCTGATGGTTAGGTAGTTAAATTAATAAAGCCTGAATTCAATAAAATTAGTTGAATTAAACCTTATGCAATGGCATTCTAAAATAGCAATTAGTTTTGAAATTAAATGTGTAGAGCTATATTAGAAGAAGTTTGAAACAAAGCATGATTACAACTTTGAGTCTGAATTTAGAGATTTTAAAATGCTCAGGTCTTATAATGATTATCAAAATAGAACAAATTAAGTAATATATTGGTGGCCTATTGCAGATGAAAATAGTTTCTAAAATGTGCATGATAAACATAAATTTTGCTTGTACTTTCCTTGACTGACAAAAATTTTATGCACAATATTAAGAGATGAGATGACAACCTATAAATGCCAATCATCTTCACACACACACACACACACACACACACACACACACACACACACACACTCAGAGAGAGAGAGAGAGAGAGAGAGAGAGAGAGAGAGAGAGAGAGAGAGAGAGAGAGAGGTATACTTCTACTTCCTGGCTCTCTTTTCCATTTCACAAGACTATTTTTCTCTTTCTTTGCTTATTCTGTGTTTCATTGCTTATTTCAAATTTCCAGTACCTTTATAGGTCCCATAGCAGCATGCTTCTTTCCCTTTGCTCACGTTAGTTGAGTTACTTGTCATGAGTGTATGCATGTGTGTGTATGTTCTATATATGACAGACAACTTTAGCCACAAAAATCTTAAAAATAATGCTGTCTAAATCACAATGACAACACCATTTGACCTTCCAAAAACAATGGGGGAAATCACATACGGTTCAATTTATAGATGACAAGCTTTAGGCAATTAATGGGTGCTGAGAGATGAATCAGTCTTCTCCAGGGAAAAGCCCCTGATAGGTTATCAAACCGAAGAGGTTAGCCATATATATATATATATATATATATGTGTGTGTGTGTGTGTGTGTGTGTGTGTGTGTGTGTGTGTGTATACATACATATGTGAAAAAAAAACTAAAAACACTCAGCAAGTTACAAAGTCACAAAGAAGGCAAGATGGAAGTTCCTTCAGAGCTTAAAAGTGGATGTTCCATGTATTGAACACACACACACACACACACACACACGCACGCACACAATTATATATATATATATAATTGTGTGTGTGCTTACATATGTGTGTATGTGTTTGTGTATGTAATGATAATAGTAATTAAATGAATATGTCATAAATTTGAGAAAGAGCAGTCAGACAGAGGGGGTAGTGAGAAGGAGTGTGGAGTGGAAATTGTACAAATGCCACAGTAACATACAGTACTAATTTGTCAAAGTATCAAAAATATGTAAAAAATAAATAAATAACCAGGCCACTGCCAACCTGTAAAAACCTGATTCATTGTTTTCTAGTTCTTTGTGTCCTTCCGCTGTCTCTTGCCTGGTTGCTCTCATTGGGTCTTGTAGTGTTAAGTTGAGTGTAAAACCTGAAGTGGATATCCTTACTTTCAAAAAGACCTGAGTGTGAAAACTCAGCTTTCCTAATGTTTTGAATTTTCAATGTACTATACAACTACAAAAATACTAGAAAATCAAAGAGGAGATATGATTTAAACAGAAAAATATTTTAATACCACCCCAAAAGCAAAGACAATAAAAACAAATATCAGCAAATATAAAAGCATAATAAGCAATTTTTATAGTTTAAATGAAAGAGTTAACATTAGAGATATATTATACCCCAAAGAATAGAAGAAAATATTAGGAAATGATCTGTAAAAGATGTAATCTATAGAATATAAGGAAGTTTAAAAGCTCAAAGTAGAAAAATATGTTGATTTTTATAAAAGAAATTGATCTAAATCATTGTTTCAAATTAATTTATAAACGGAGAAAAAGATTATTTTTTAAAAATGTTTAAATTTTCTAATCAAGAAGGTAACGAAAACTAAAGCTTCAATAAAATATTTCACTCTAATAAGAACAGTTGATTTTATCTGGTTAAAAGTATGAGCTGCCAACATGTTCAGTGAACCTTTGGATAAAATGGGGATATGAAATAGCACAGTCATTACAGAAGGCAAGACATCAGTTCCTTCAAAGCTGAAAAGTGGATATTCCATGTAGTTGAGCAAAGTCAGTACTGATTGTATAGCCAAAGGATATACAATTAGCATGAAAAAGACGGTTGCATGCCTCTGTTTATACCCAAACTACCTTGGTAGCCATGAAATAGGAGCATTCCATGTCCACCAGTGATTAATGAATAAAGGAAGAGCGTAACATAACAGAGTCCTCCTACAATACATCAAACAAAATTGAAATTCTATAGTTGTCAACACATGTGGAAATGGATAGCATTATGTGTAGAGAAATAATTGAGGCACAGAAAGCCGCCTTCA